GCTGACCTTGAAATTTCAGTTAGCGGTTTGTGATGACTAAATAAGTGTAATGCTATTGCGAAGGTTGGGTGTTGAATAAGGGACACACGTTGCACTTCAGACTTCCTTTTAAGAAACATTTTGCTGAGCTCGTGTCGGGTGGTAGGTACTGGCTGTTGAATACAGGATGTTTCCGCAAGTACTTGAAGGGGGTTTGCCCATCTCAAAAAGGTTTTAAGTTCTGGAGAGTATTTGCCACATGGCTATGTTCATTATATACACGAATGCAAGTTTTTAGGGCCTTGTGAAAATAAATGAGTGACTATTAACTCTTTAAAATCATACCTGGAAAGGAACTGACCTGGAAATGCAGCAGTAAGACCTGGTTGTTAACTGTTTGCTGTCATGTGAGGCAGATATTCTGACATGGGAAAAGCTTATTGGCTTTGAAGATGATGGGAATAGGCCTGGTTCCTACTACTAAGCTGGGTATGATGTGTAGTGGTGGACTCTACCTGGTTGGAGCTGGCATGAGAGGTTGCACAACAGAACCTAGGCACGCGCACAGTACACTACTATAGCAACACATGTAAGGGAAAAACAGGCATCACAAAGGGCCAATGATTACAAAAGCAAAACGGTGTGTTTTGATGTTGCTGTCCCTCTCGGACAAAACTACAGCGATCTGATATAACCTGCTTGCGAAGGACAAAACAAACCAGGTGTGACAGATGGCCTGACTGCCTCGCTGTTCAATGTCTCTGGGCCTCATTTGGGTTGGGGAAGGGTCTCGCAATTCAAATGTTCCAGTTCTGTGCAAATACCTAGTGACTTGGTTATTGTGAAGCTGTGGCAGTCCCTTTCAGGATATGTGTGCTTAAGGCTGAGAACTTGAACAACCCAGTGGCTGTTACTTGTAGGCTTGACCTTCCTCTTTTAAAGTCCTGGCAGGCTGCGCTTTATGGCGGCAGTGCCTCTGTGATTGAGGAGGCATTGTTCCTCTTGTAGTGCTATCAGCCCCATTCCTCAGAGTCATTCTGCCTTGTTGAGTAGATAGTGTCTTAACAGAGGACGAGAAGAGACTTGCTAGGCAGTTGGGTAATTGCCAGCTGCCTCCCTTCTGGCATCGGATCCTTAATTTCTTTGCAGTCTAAACAAACCATGCCATCACTGAACTAGAGCCACAGGTCAGGTGCAGACATACCTCCCTTGGTAACCCCCTTTTGGTGTAAAGTAGGCCTATTTCCCCTATGGTGCACCATCCTGGAATGGTTAAGTATGTTTGCTTCCAAAAGCTGAATATTTGGAGGCAAAATTTTCATGCTTGACCCTATGCCTGAGGTTTGCTAGGCAAGGTTTTTTGGGTCTCTCTTATTAGACCAACTGAATAGGTCGGAAAAAAGGTCTTGGCAAGCTTTTGGGCGCAGTCACCCTTCATCAGGCTCCCTATGCCTGAAGAAGGGTGACTGCACCCAAAAACTTGCTAAGACCTTTTTTCCAACTACTTAGTTGGTCTAGTAATAAGATATCGCAACTATCCAAAGAACCTTGCCTGCCTATGTCCGTAGACCAACATGGCTACAACCAAAAACCCTGCAACATGGAAGATTATTAGATTTTGCTAGGATGTTTGAGCCTTGTCAAACAGGCTGGTGTAGGGATTGCTCACTCTTCGCATTTGCAGGTCACTCCCTGTAAAACTTCAGTTAAATACAAGCAGACTGCTTCTTTTGGAGAAATTTTTAACCAGTTTAGTTGGAGATGGGAATGGCTGGAGGATTGGTATATAGTGGAGACTGGTAAGCAGATCTCACTTCTGCATCCTAGTGACCCATTTGGTGCTACACTGGTGTACTGACATTTCCTGACTTTTTTTTTTTTTTCCTTCTAATCATGAGTACACACATACTTGCCTGAAAAAATGCAAGCTTGTGTCCTATTGGCCAGCTCCCTGCAAGATTTTCCTCCTATGTGGTCAGCTTTCCATGTTTTGGGGCTTCCACAAGTGGGGGGGGGGGGA